AGCCTGTATCCGGCTTTGTAAAGCTTGTAATGTAACATATTATTGTTAGTGTATAAAAGCCTCGTCGTTCTTGCATTCCCCCGGTCGGTGGAGCATTGGTGACGTCACAATGTTGTGGTCTCCGATTGACGGAGTGTTGCTTCTTTTGCTTTTATACAGGCTCCGATTGGCGGAATTCGATCGATGTTTGCTATGTATAGCCTCCGGTTGGCGGATTTTGATGATGTTTGCCATGTACAGCCTCCGATTGGCGGAGTTTGACGATGTTTGTTATGTACAGCCTCCGATTGGCGGAGTTTGACGATGTTTGCTATCTATAACCTTCGATTAGCGAAGTTTGACGATACAGTCTCCAATTGGTGGAGTTATTTTGACATAAAGCTAATTATTCTATTTTCCGACGAGGGGACCCTCTCTTTAATATTTGGTCTGGATCTTGAGTGTACCTGCAAAAAATGAAATGTTCTTAGATATAAGATGCAAGTTGAAGTACATTCGAGAAATAAAGTAGGGAAATAGTATTTTGGCTCATGATTGTAGAAGTCGAATGGCGACTTCGGTCGTGCCCCAAGACTTGATGTTATTTTCTTGATTCCTGTGTTCTTGCGCTCAAATAAAAATTTTAGTTTGGGAGGGGGTGTTGATTTGTATCGATTTTGCGGACTGAAGCCTCGTCACTGGAATCTTTCGACGTTTTCTTAGCCTACACATAGTTTCTTAACCTAGAGAATTGGTAGGTGGAAGAATAGAAAAATCTTTTGAAAAGAATTAGCTTGTTCTTTTTCTTTAGAAAATAAGTATATTACTTATATATTAGGTATATATATATATATATATGTAGTAATTCTCCAGCACTTTTTAGATTATGACATGTTCCGAAGTCCATCGAGCTTTCCATTTTGTTGACTATACCCAACATAGTCTTCTTGTAGGTTTTACCCTCATGATGAAGCTTGTCTAACTCTTTTGTAGACACTGCGACGATCGAGATTCTTCGTATTCTGAGGTTATGCTAACTATGAGGAAGTGTTTCCTATGGGTAAGAAAGAAAATGGAAATTCTGCAGTGCATTGATCGAGCCTGATTCAGGCTGCCTATGTATCCCCAAAGTAGGAATCAGATCGTAACATAGTTCGTGTAACACCCGATAATTTGGAATAACTATGAAGAGGCTTAGAATTGGAAATAGTCATTTTTGGAAGAATTCAAAATCTGGAAAATTTGGCTAAGTGTGGAAATCAGTGAGTTTTTGACCAAATTTGAGCAATCGTAACTCCTATCTCAGGATGAGTTAGGAGTAGTTCCAGTTATGGTTGTGAAGCTTGTGGAATGATCTTTCCAACGCCGCCAAGTTTACTCGATTCCGAGTTCGTATGAGCGAGTTATGCCCTTTGAAAGTTGGGCAGTTGGCAGGGAATCCGTCCGGAAATTTTAAGGGCATTTTGGTCTTTTCACTAACAAATTCCTTTGGTTATATTATTGTGTTAGGCTGAATTGTATATCATTTTTGTCCCATTTTAAAAGAGTAAGAGTTAGGGTTCTTAAGTGAAGAAGAGAAGAAGAGAGAAAGAAGAGAAGAAGAAGAGGAGATCAAGGAGTTTCCGTCAAAGATCATCATGGAAACCGTCGGGGGTGATCCGTAATAGGTATGTGAGTCTTTAGTGTTAGGTGATCCTTTCCCCCACACACAAAAATCATTTTTATTATTGAGGAAAGATTGGATTTGTTGTTGAAGTTGTTGAAGTTGTTAGTTATTGTTCTTGTTGAAGTTTATGGTTGTGTTGGTTGAAGTTTGTGGTTGTATTGTTGAAGTTTCTTGTGGGTTTGGTGTATGTTTCCGGTGGATTTTTTGAGTTGAATCTATGGTATATTGAGGGTTTTAATGATTCTAAGTGATTTGGGGAAGAAACCATTCGATTTTAGGTGAAATAAGGTGAGAAAACGAGAAAATGAACTTGCTGAAATTTTTGGGTTGGGGGCCTGGCACGATGCGCCTGCCAGAGCGCCCCAAACTCACCTCTGAAGTTTAGGGGCTGGCGCTCCGCGCCACCCATGGCGCCAGGGTCACTTGCCCCATCTATTTGTCGTCGGTTGCCCCGTTTGAGTTCATTTAAAGTGCACATTCACTCCTTTTCGATTCTAACTACTCTAAGCTACTTCTAAGCACCTAAAAGTCATTCCTAACATGATTAAAAATCTTGAATTCATAATTCAAATTCAAGGTGGAGTTGAGAGTTATGTTTTGAGAATTCTTTCGAATATTCTAAGGAAATCCCTTTGAGTCTTTTTTTAGGAGTCGGCTACAATTTCGGGTAACTTGTTTCAAGACTCGAGCAAGTGAGTAAGAAAATGAGAAGTGTCGTAAACATGAGATCATTACCCTTGAATCCATAATCCAATTCAAGGTGAGTTAGGATCAAAGTCAAGTGAAGTTAGAAGGCAAGTGAAGTTAGAAGTCAAGTGAAGTTAAGAGTTAAATTCAAGAGTTAAGATGCAAGTCAAGCAAGTCTTCAAAGTTATTCAAGAGTCTTCATTGAACGTTTTAACTTCATTCTAAGGCTCGAGTTCCAAGTTAAGTATAAGAGTTCCAAGTTAAGTATATAGAGTTCCAAGTTAAGTATAGAGTTTCAAGTCAAGCAAAGAGCATAGAGTTTCAAGTCGAGTAAAGAGTATCGAGTTTCCAGTTAAGTCAAGAGTTTCAAGTTAAGTCAAGAGTCAAGAGTTGAGTTCATTTCTCAAAAGTTATGAGGGAACTAAGTATTCCCAAAGAAGTTTATAAATGTTTTCACATATAAGTTAAGAGGAAACTGAGATTTCCTAAAGAGTTTTGAGTAGTTGAGTACTATCTCCTTTTGATAAAAGATGAGTTTTGCGAAAGAGCTTCTAAAACATGATTAGTATGACAAATTGAGTATGTCATCAATGTTTAAACAATATGGTCTCTAGATATACCATAAATGTTTAAGCAGTATGAATATCCCGAGTCATCAATGATCATATTAAAAATATGGTTTTGAGATGTTCTTTTTAGAAAGAGTTTTCAAGAGCCTTTGGGCTAAGTTTTGAGTAATTATCTCAACTAAAGAAAGAGGTGTTTAAAACACTAATGAGCTAAGGTATTTTTGGGAGTAGTCTTGAGTACCGCATTGGGGACACGAGTTCATATTAACTCAACTCTCCATAAGAGTCATGTAGCCAAACATGGGATTTCTCGGATCATACTTTTTAGATGATCACGAAAGTTAAGCTAGTGGATTCATTAAGCAAAAGCTAAAGTTAGCTTCCTATATCACGGCAAGGTATAGGATGGTCCTTGGGCAACGTGAGGTAAAACGTTGTATCACTACTTAAGCATGTAGTGGTGGTTATCGGTTAGAGAACTCCTACAGTAGAAAGATCTTGGTTCCTTGAGAAGTTCTGCTTAGTGTGGATAGGGGTATGAGACTTCATTCATGCATTACACAAGTAGACTTCGAAAGGAAGCATGGTATTTTCATGATATTATAAATATGATTTTTACGTCATGTTTTAATAGTTTTACAAGCTTTATATATTGCATGTGTCTTATTGCTTTATATATTGAGTTCAGTTATTCTTGAGTTAAACAGAGCCAAGGTAAGTTCTCTTTTGCATCTCTTTTCAGGCTTAAGTTGTTGTTTAGCGGTCCAGCTCGCATACTTGTACATTCCATGTACTGATGCCAGTTGGCCTGCATCGTCTTATGATGTAGACGCAGGTACCCAGGATCAGCATCCAGCACGCTGTTGATCCAGTTGAGCATTCCAGAGTCAGTGGTGAGCCTCCTTGCATTCCGGAGGACTCAGATATTTTGTGTTCCTAGTTTTGTTTTATTAAGATGTTGCGGGGTCTGTCCCAACATCCATCTCAGTATTTTAGAGGCTTCATAGACAGTCAGTCAGTCAGTCAGTCAGTTAGTTTGAGTCTCTCTTTTGTGTATATGTATAAATATTCTATTTTGAGACTCGAGTTGCCTTTTTGGCCAGTTCTTATCAGTTGGTTGTTTATAACCTTCCATTGCATTGAGTTATGCTTTTGAGTTAAGTTTCCGCTGAGTTAAGAAAGCCAGGCCAAGGGTTCGCTTGGGGCCAGCAATGGTCTCCGAGTGTTGGTCCCGCCCAGGGTGTAGGCTCGGGCCGTGACAGTTCGAATACAAGTGAGAGAAATAAAAGTATGTAATGCAATGACCGAGCTTGACTCAAGCTACCTACATATCCAAATAAAATCAGGTCATAACGTAGTTCAATTACAATAAAAGTCGGAAAAATATGAAGGAAAAGTAAGAAACATGTAATGTAATGACCGAGCCTAACTCAGGCTGCCTACGTATCCAAACGGAATCAGGTCAGGACATAGTTCAAATACAAAAGGAAAGTGATTAATATGAAATGCAATGACTGGGCCTGACTCAAGCTGCCTACTATCCAAGCAGAATCAGGTCTGACAAGGATTGCCTACGTATCCAAGCGGAATCAGGTCTGACAAGGATTGCCTACGTATCCCACCGAGGGAATACAGGTCGAGCGTAGTTCTGAATACATGGTAATGATTATTTTGGGTTTTCTAAGGGAGACTGAATTCGATGTAGGTTGCCTACGTACCCCGCAGTGGGAAGTCAGATCTAAACGTAGTTCTGTTACATAAAAAATGCAAAAGTACAAGAAATAAGCACTAATCTTGAGGTTTTCAGATGTAGTATTTCTTGATAGCGTCTAAGTTGATTGGCTTTGTGCTCACTCTGCCATCCATTTCTTCTAAGATTACCGCTCCTCCAGAGAGTACTCCATGAACCATGTAGGGTCCTTGCCAATTTGGTGCAAATTTTCCTTTGGCTTCTTCTTGGTGAGGAAAGATCTTCTTCAATACTAACTTTCCTGGTGTGAACTGTCGAGGTTTGACTTTCTTGTTGAATGCTTTGGTCATTCTGTTCTGATAGTGTTGTCCATGACAAACCACGTCCATCCTTTTTTCATCGATGAGCATCAATTGTTCATGCCTGCTAGTATCCATTTTGCATCATCTAGACCAACCTCTTGGATAATCCTTAAAGATGGTATTTCTACCTCGACAGGTATTACTGCTTCCAAAGCATAAACCAACATATAAGGAGTTACCCCAGTTGATGTTCTAATTGTGGTGCGATAACCGAGTAAAGCATATGGTAACTTCTCATGCCATTTCCTGTGACTGTCCACTATTTTTCTTAAAATCTTCTTGATATTCTTATTTGCAGCCTCAACTGCTCCATTCATCTGTGGCCGGTAAACTGTAGAATTTCGGTGAGTAATCTTGAACCTTTCACAAGTTTCCTTCATAAGATTGTTGTTGAGGTTGGCTGTATTATCGGTTATGATTGATTCTGGAATTTCAAACCGACAAACTATGTTGTTGTGAACAAAGTCTGCCACTACCTTCTTAGTCACTTCCTTGTATGTCGAAGCTTCGACCCATTTTGTGAAATAATCGACAGCTACCAGAATGAAACGATGTCCATTTAATGCGGGAGGCTCTATGGGTCCGATAACATCCATGCCCCAAGCGGCAAATGACCAAGGGGAACCCATCACATTGAGCTCATTCAGTGGGACCCGTATAAAATCTCCATGCACTTGACACTGATGACACATTTGCACATACCGGATGCTATCTCTCTCCACGGTCATCTAAAAATATCTAGCTCTTAAATCTTCTTTGCTAAAGTGAACCCATTCATGTGAGGTCCACATGTTCATGCATGTATTTCTTCCAAAAGCCTTGTCGCTTCTGCGACGTTGACACACCTCAGCAATCCTAAATCTGAAGTTCTCTTATATAGGATTTCTTCGTTAAGGAAGAAATAATTGGCATCCTCCTCAAAGTCCGTTTCTACTTGCTTGTAGCATTTTCAGGATATTCTTGTGCTTCTATTAATCTTCTAATATCATAGTACCAGGGTTTTCCATCCAATTCATCATCTACATGAAAACAGTAGGCATGTTGATCATGTAACTCTATATCGATAGGGTCGATGTAATTCTTGTCTGGATGTTGAATCATCGAGGATAATGTTGCTAAAGCATCGACAAACTCATTTTGAGCTCGAGGGACATGCTTGAACTTAATCCTTGTGAATCTTCTACTCAACTCTTTTATGTAATGCAAATAAGGAATGATCTTGACATTCTTAGTGGTCCATACTCCTTGCACTTGATGAACCAACAAGTCGGAGTCTCCTATCACCAAGAGTTCTTTGATATTCATGTCTATGGCCATTTTGAGTCCGAGAATACAAGCTTCATATTCTGCCATGTTATTGGTACAATATAACCTAATCTTAGTTGAGATTGGGTAATACTGACCTGTTTCCGAAATTAAGACTGTCCTATTCCAACTCTTATAGAGTTTGATGCCTCATCAAAGAACATTCTCCATCCATCATACAATTCTGATATTTCTTCTCCTACAAACAACACTTCTTCATCAAGGAAGTAGGTCGTGAGTGGCTTGTAATCCTGGTCCACCAGATTTTCTGCGAGGTGATCAGCCAAGGCTTGTCCTTTGATGGCATTCTGTGTCACATACACAATATCAAACTCGCTCAACAAAATTTGCCACTTTGCCAGTTTACCCGTAGGCATGGGCTTCTGAAAGAGTACTTTAGTGGATCTATTCTTGAGATCAAGTACGTGGTGTATGCAGGAATGTAATGCCAAAATTTTTGCGCAATCCAAGTCAAAGCACAACATGTTCGTTCCAACAAGGTGCACTGAAATGACCCAAAAAGTTCTTTAAAATGTGCTTCGGAAGTTACCGGAAACTTGTTTAGCTATATAAAAAAAAATCCGTTTCGTTTTTTGAAAATCCGACTTCATATTCTTGTTTAAGGGGTCAAATTGAGTGGGAAATGGGTCTAACCCAAATTTTAGAGCAACCGTATCAAAATCCAAAATTTCCAAGTGAAGCCTTTTTCGAGGGTCTACTTTGGAGGGTCATATCTCCTAGCACACAAATAATTGGGTGTCCCATAATATATCCATGGAAAGCCCTTTAAGTTAGCTACCTAACGCATTTCATTTCACCTCATTTGGAGTTCGGACGAAGAAGTTATGCTCATTTTCGTAAAATCTGTCCGGCAGGAAATGCAAATTTCCAGTGACCGAAATTACTGTTCACCCGCCTCATTTTTTTTTCTAAGTGTTGGACCATTTTTCCAAAGGACATATGTTATTTCCTATATACCATTAGTTCAATTCCCATCTCTAAAACATTTCTCAAAACATCTCTCCCATACTTAGACACATTTTTCCTCAAGAACCCTAATCCAAAACCTTCCTCAAGATTGAAGAGACTCTTGCTCCAAGTTCCAAGCTTCCATTGAAGACACTCTCAAGACCTTCATAAGAACTCAAGGTATGTGGTGTTGAACTCATGGGTCCTTCCACCCATAGTGCCTAGACTTTATTCTAGTCACTAATTCATTGTTTAAGTTAAGATTCATAAATTAGTCTTGTTCTTTGTAGTAATTTCCTGCACATTGAATTTTAAACATGAAAAGTGATTGTTTTGAGCATGTTGTGACTCTAGAACTTGAATCTAAATTTGGAATGGATGTGGATATTTTCATATGGTATTGTGGGTGTTAAAAAGGGTGTTGTTGTAAGTTGTTCATTGGTTTGGCTGCATAATTACTACCATATTTTTCATGCTCTTTGATTCCACTATATGCCTTCAAGGTGTTTGACAAAATGTTCAACTATGGAGAATTGATGAATCGATGCTTTAAAGCTTGAGCTATGAGATGTATGGAAATCCAGAGATGTGTTGATGACAAACTAAGCTTGTGTATATGTTCATTCCATACGTGAGATTGCATTAGAGCCTAATGGAAATTTCCTATATAAAGTGTTGCATGACCATGCCCGGTCCGGGGGAAAAGAACCGGACAACCATGTGAGAGGTTTATATCTCACCACCTAGGATGCTTGGGGTGTGACCAACATCAACCATGTGAGAGGTTTATATCTCACCACCTAGGATGCTTGGGGTGTGACCAACATCAATCATGTGAGAGGTTTATATCTCACCACCTAGGATGCTTGGGGTGTGACCAACATCAACTATGTGAGGGGTTTATACCTTGCCACCAGGGTGTTCGGGTGTGAACGGCATCCCCCATCCTAAGTTGGGGTTATAGATTGGTTGGATCATGCATACACATATGATATCTACTATTAGTATAGATTTACTTAAACATGTTTTGACTTCACTTTGATCATGCATCCTCATATTGTTATTCATAATGCCTATGAAACTATTTCTTGTATTTCGATTGTGTCCTTGTCTATTGTTGTGTTGCACCCCGCATACTTAGTACATTCTAAGTACTAACGCATATTTTGCCTACATGATGTCACCATGTAGGGACCGGAGCTACTCTTGATCCTTCTCTCCATTCACATGGCTAGTACGACGCTTATCCGAGTTTGTTGGTGAGTCCTCAATGATTCGAGGGCTATGTTATGTTTCCTACTCCTATGTTTTGAGACTTTAGCTTGCAATTGTATTTTAACTATGAGGGGAGCCGGTAATATGTCATGGCCCCCGTCCTATCTATGTATGTAGAGGTGTGCGTTGGACAAGTATTTTGTAAATGAGCTTGACTCTTGTTCTATGATGTCATTTTGAGATGGTTTGCCCTTAGTCCCTATTTCCCGTTAATTAATGTTGAATGTACTTTCGCGACCGATGAAGTGTGATGACAAGTTTGAGAGGCTTGTTTGGGGTCCCTTCGGGTTCCTCATTCGTCATGTCACGTCTAGGCCCTAGGCTTGGGTCGTGACATGTACCTTGCCTCGTATGGTGTGAACTTTTTGCTCAAATAGTATATAGTTTGCTCTTTTCTACTCGTCTCATCATGCTGCCCCAATACACATCCAAATGCATTATCCATGACAGATAGATACAATAACAAAGGGTTTTCAGGCTCTGGTGGGACCAATACTAGTGGGTTGGACAAGTATTCTTTGATTCTATCAAAAGCCCTTTAGCATTCCTCGGTCCATTTCGTGGCATCATCCTTCTTCAGTAACTTGAATATGGGTTCACAGATCACCATGGCTTGAGCTATGAATCGACTGATGTAATTCAGTCTTTCCAAGAAACTTATCACGTCCTTTTTGGTCTTGGGTGGAGGTAGCTCTTGGATTACCTTTATCTTTGATGGATCCAACTCTATGCATTTTCTTCTAACGATGAATCCCAATAGTTTTCCAGTGGGTACTCCAAATGCACACTTTGCTGGATTCAACTTCAGATTATACTTACGCAACCTTTCAAAGAACTTTCGTAAGTCATCCAGGTGATCTAAACTTCTTTTGGATTTGATAACGACATTATCCACGTACACTTCAATTTTCTTGTGGATCATATCTTGAAAAAGGGTAGTCATGGCTCTCATATATGTCCTTTCCTTAACATGTAGACAAATGGGATTAGTCGGTAATTTGTGCGAGATAATATTAGTGCTTAATCTTGGCATGTCATCATAAGACCAAGCAAATACGTCAACATACTGCTTAAGCGATTCTATTAACTCTTGCTTTCTTCCAACCTCCAAATGTATGCTGACTCATGTCTCTTTCACGATTTCCTTATCTCTTAAGTTGACAACCTTTGTTTCATCCATATTGGGTTTCTTCTGACTTTCAACCTGCTCGATCTCTTGTGGCAGATTTTCAGACATTATGCTTTCATCATACTCTTGTGATCTTGTTCATCATTTTCACCTTGCTCGGTGGATTCGTTACATGTCATAACCGTTGAACGAGGATTTTTATTAATATGAGTGCTGAAAAGTGCAAAAGGTAAGTAAAGATAAATATATATTTAAAAAAACGAGAAATTTTTAAAGAAAGTACAGACTTTTTATTTCAAAGCATTCTAGCTTTTTAGAAGATGCAAGCAACAAAATATTAGGCTTGATTCAAGCCTCAATTTGATCATGCGAATTTTAAATTAAGACTACTTTTCCACAATACCAGGACTCTTGTTGAAATAGGGACGTGCTGGTGGTCCAATTTTGCAAGATTTCTCTAGGTTCGGCATCACGAATAACCAACTTGTTGAGATTTATCCATTTCTCTTCTCCAGTCATGGCCATGAACATATTGCATATTCCTTCTATAGTGTCATCAACGCCAACTTGATCTGGAATCAAAGTTTGTTCTGGTACAGAGATTGTATCGCTTGACCCGTGACGGTCTCTTCCCGAGGCAGGCTCATACTCGAGTCCGTTGGTGCTTCTCTGATGCTTCAGCTGGATCGACTCAACTACGTTATTGGACTTAGGTCCAAGTCCATTCTTAGGCTTATATCCATACTTCATTATCTTTGACACAACCATTTTCGCTGCACTTGACAACTTTGTATTACCTGCTTCTGCTTCCTCACCGATCCTTATAGCTTGCATAATTTCCAAAGTGTGAAAGGTAGCTCCGTCTAACTCGTCAGTGACTGGGATAGAATTAACAGAAAGGATGGGGTGACTGAGCTCTCCGTGGATGGTAACTTCTGTGCGACCCCACTCAAACTTTACACATTGGTGAAGAGTGAAAGGAATCGCTCTTGCCGTGTGAACCCATGATCTTCC